ACCTACAAAATTAACCTAATCTAAAGCATTTACCATTTACCAAATCACCAATAAGCGATCAAAATTAAAGACTGGAAGTCTGGAATCAGGAATTTGGAAATTAGAATTTTTACCCGAAAGCCGAATCAAAAACCTAAGTCCCGCTGCTCGCGCACAGGCAGCCTGCGCCCTGCTGGTCGTCTCGTCTCAGTGTCTGGACCGTCGGCGTCTGGTACTCTGCACTCTGGTCGCAGACTCGCAGTGAGCCAGGGTCGTCCACAGTCCACTCGTCCTCGTTCGTGTCTTGTCGGTGCTACACAGCCTACACTGCTACTGCTTCCTTCGTCTCTTCCAGAATTGTGAATGTGAGGGGCCTTTTACAAAATATGTTGGGGGCCCAAATGAAATAAATTAAAAATTACAAGTTAAAAAAACAATTGGGCTTTGAAATTTTTTTTTTGGGAGCCCAAGACCCCAACGACCCTTCTTTGCATCCGCCCCTGCTAATGACTGTTTCTTGGGTATCTCCCAGCTTGTATAAAATGTTTTGAGAAGGACGTAACACCAATGAATAATGGATCTAAAATCTCTACTAAATTGGCTGCCCAACAACCCACATGCTATTCAAAGTTTGCTAGCTTACAAATTAAAAGCAAAATGAAAGATGAAAACTTGAATAATTTGTTTAGACTTGTTGAGCACATGTGGAGACACCTATAGTATGTGGACCATTATATACTTCAAAAGAAAAAGCATAGCATCAGTTACAGAAAGAAAGAAAAACATGATTCCATTCATAATTAGAGCAACAATTGCAGCAACAAAACATAGAATGGCCAATGCAAATAGATTCATTAGTTAATACACACGATCTTTAACTTTGAATGATGATCACATCACTCACATAAACAAATGCATAGAAACATAGGATGTCCAATACAAAAGAATTTATACTTTCACAAGTTTGTTTAAGAATTAAATAGCTGTAAAATTGTCAATGAGCACAAAACTTAGCTCCCATCGAGGAATTTGGTTAAAATGGCCACTATGTTCTAAGAATAAGAAATTAAGAACCATATCATATGTCTACCTTTTCCTGTTTCTTTTAAATTAAAACCACTGAGGCATCTTGTCAACAAATGGACGAGCATATACCTACTATATACATGTATTTGGAACAAAAACGATGTTCCTAAAGGGCTCTGGATGATAATTAGTATAGCGTGAAGCACTTTTCTTCGAAAATCAACGTTCTAAACAACTCATCTCAACAAATTAAAGCCTACATCAACGAATCCAGGGTATTTCATCCATTAACGACTAATTTCATACACAGATAATGATCCGAAAACGAGTAGGAAAACAGTGGTGATGAATAGACTAATGTAAATTGATTGAATTCAATTAAAAAAACCTGAAAACTGAAGGTCCGGAGCACTCCAAAGGGTCGAAGCGGAGGAGTTGCGGTGGTTGGAGGCGGACGGCGAGAGAAACATGCGTCAGGTTCAGCTGACGGTGGAAAAGAGAGATATAAATAGAGGGTAAATTTGGAAACCACAATCATTAAATGACAAAATTGCCCCTTAGTTAAAATAAACAGGATGTAAAACAACTGTTGCTGCCCAGGATCGAACTGGAGACCTTTAGTGTGTAAGACTAACGTGATAACCACTACACCACAGCAACTCACGTTGTTGATGTTAATCTATTTTTATTTTAAAGAATTAAAATTATAAAAAAAAAATTATTTTATTTATTGTTTTATTATAATCTATACTATATTATAAAACATTTGACAAAAACTCTTAAAAACCACTTTTTATGCGTAAATTACTGTTTATTAATGCATATTACTTAAAACTCAAGATTACAAGTAGATTGTGC